CTGTGAATGGTGCTGCAGCAAGCATGGGGTGCAGAGCTAGCTTTGATACATGGACTTCCTTTCTGTTGGGTATATATCCAGCAGCAGGACTGCTGGATCATGTGGTATAGCTCTATTTTTAGTTATTTGAGGAATCTCCAAACTCTTCTCTAGAGTGGTTGTGCTAATTTACATGCTTACAAACAGTGTATGAGGATTCCCTTTTCTCCACATTCTTGTCAACATTTGTTATTGCCTGACTTTTGGAGATACGCCGTTTTAACTGGGGTGACAGGGTATCTCAGTGTAGTTTTGATTGGCATCTCTGATGATCAGTGATGCTGAGCACCCTTTCATAAGCCCGTCTGTCATCTGTATGTCTTCTTTTGAGAAATGTCTATTCAAATCTTTTGCCCATTTTTAAATCCAACTATTAGACTTTTTCCTAAAGAGTTATTTGAGCTCCTTTTTAAGTCTGATTACTAATCCTTTGTCAGATGGGTAGTTTGCAAACATTTTCTCCCATTCTGTGGCCTGTGTCTTCACTTGGTTGGTTGTTTCCTTTGCTATAGAAGCTTTTTAACTTGATGTGATCCCATTTGTTCATTTTGGCTTTGGTTGCCTGTGCTTCTCGGGTATTACTCAACAAATGTTTGCCCAGAACAAGGTCCTGGAGATATTCCCCAATGTTTTCCTGTAGTTGTTTCATAATTTGCAGTCTTACCACAACCTTAGTGACTGAAAACAACAAAAACAAAAAACTTATCTCACAATTATGGAGGTCAAGAGTTTACAATGGGTCAACAGGGGCGCATTGTTTCTGGAGTCTCTAGGAGAGAATTTATTTCTTTGCCTTTTCCAGTTTCTCCAGGGTGTCTGCATTCCTCGGTTCACGGCCTTGCGTCACTCAGACTTCTGACACAGTTGTCACATCTCCTTTTGTTTCTGACACTCCTACTTCCCTTCAGTAAGGCCCCTTGTGATTACATTGGGCCCACCCAGATTATCCAGAATCATCTATCTCTAGATCCTTAACTTGATCACATCAGCAAAGTCCTTTTTGCCATGTAACGTCATTTAGTCACAGGTTGTGGGGATTGGGATGTGGACATCTTTGAGGGACCATTATTCTGTCTTAACATATAAAATTAATATGATGTAATGCTGCGCAGTGACTTAACATTGCAAAGATTTCAGTTATCTCCAAAACATTACATAAATTTAATGTGACACTAATCAAAATCCTAAAAGGATTTTTTAAGGAAGTTGCCAGACTTATTTTTAAATGCTTATGGAAAAATAAAGGTCTCTACATAGTTAAATCCACTCTGAAAGAGAAGGCGGAAGGCAGGCGGGGAGAGGGGCTTATCCTATGCGATATTTAGATATGCTAAGAACCTTTGCAATAAATACTGGTGTGGCAACAGGCAACTGGACAATGTGCCAAGATAGAGAGCTAGGGTAATTGGAGGGGATACAGAATTAAAGTGGCACCTTGAATCAGTGGAGAAATAATGAGCTGTTCATAGGTGGTGTAGAGAAGAGTGCCCTCTACCTGGAGAAAAACAAGCCAGGATGCCTATCTTACATCACATATAGTGGTCTGTAGAGGATGATGTCCAAGACCCCCAGCATTCAAACGTTTTTAGAGGAGAGCTCCAGGTGCAAAGGCAGAACTACAAATCTTGCACGCCAGCATCGTGTAGCTGTCCAGAGTACCCATGCGCTGGGGGGAGTGCCCACTGCGTTCCACTGACCAGCCCTTTGCCTGCCACACAGCTTGGTCTGTGTGCTGCTGAGGGCAGGGAGTCACATCTTACTGATTTCTGCAGCTCCAGCCATGAGGACACCATATGGCAGAGAAGTGATAAAAATGTTTGTTGAGACCTGATGGGGAAGCTGGTGACGGGGTGACTGCATCATTACTGTGGGCAGGTCCGTGGTTTCAGGAAAACGAGCTGCCCTCATTACCTGGCAGCTTGCCACAGTCAAAGATCTCGATAGGACCACCCCCACATAGCAGGGGAGAGAGAGAGGTGCTCCCAGCATGGAAAACGTCCTCGAATTTCTCTACAAAGAAGAACACCTGACCCAAGAATTAACTGTGCCCACTGGTTAGCCCCACATTTATGAGATTCCCTGTTCTTATCTCTGATTAAAATAGCCTTGTGTCATTGTTGTCGCTCAGGAAAGCAGGGTTTTAATTATTTTAAAACATAATTGAAAAATACTTTTAAGACAATGGTTCAGTGTCCTCTTTCCTGTGTCAAGCAAGGGGAATTTCATTAGTTCCTGTTACTACTTCCATTGAAAAAGGTATTATATTCATCAACTAGTTTACTAGTAATTGGTAACTGGCTATATTCTGGATGAAAACCAAATGACCCAAAACCGCTCAGAGGTAAAGGACATTTAGGGGACAACTAAGGAATACTGATAATACTATATCCATATTATTAATGTTAAATTTCTTAGCTGTGATAATGGGATTATGTGCAAAAGTCTGCAATCTTCTCTCAGATAGTTCAGCAAAAAATGTATATGCTTGTAAATTATGTATTATACACATAGAAAGAGAGCGAGAGAGAGAGAGAGGGCACACAAATGTTAATTGGAAGCCCTTCAGTGTAATATTCTTTTTTTTTTTTTTTTGAGATGGAGTCTTGCTGTGTCACCCAGGCTGGAGTGCAGTGGCCGGATCTCAGCTCACTGCAAGCTCCGCCTCCTGGGTTCACGCCATTCTCCTGCCTCAGACTCCCAAGTAGCTGGGACTACAGGCGCCCGCCACCACACTGGGCTAATTTTTTGTATTTTTTAGTACAGCGAGGGTTTCACCGTGTTAGCCAGGATGGTCTTGATCTCCCGACCTCATGATCTGCCCACCTCGGCCTCCCAAAGCGCCAGGATTACAGGCGTGAGCCACCGTGCCTGGCCATCTTCAGTGTAATATTCTTTCAACTTCTCTGTAGGTTAAAAACACTGATTGTAAGGTTAAGAGAGAAAAGGGCATGATACTAGTTTATATATCAGTAACTAAAAATAAAAACCTAGAAATATAAGCATATCATACCTAATTATGAAATCAAACCAAACAGATCTCAGAGCACTCATCTATGGCACGGGCCCTGAAATACTTATAGGACAAATCCTGATGGGCAACAGAACTCATCAAGGAGCTGGGTCTGTCTTGCCTGGTGTCCCTCGTGTCTGTGGCAGCACAGAGCTCCATGAGGGCAGGCATTTCTGAGTTTTGTTGCTCAGTTCCCAGTGCCTGGTTGTTCATTACAAAATGACAACAGAGTAAGACTGGAAAAAATAAAGTGCCCAGTTTCAGGGGATAACTAAGTACAACACGGTCTATTCTTTTAAAGTATTACATTATTTGTTGAATGAATATATGGAGGTTTTTAGCCTGCTCTCTGTAATATTTGGCTGTAATATTCTCTCTAGACAGGAAAAGAGAGGCCACCCAGACCGCAGAAGTGGCTCCTCTGCTGCCCACTGGACTGTCTGATCTGGGGCTCCTTAGCCCACAAGGGGTCTAGGCCCCAGGGAGACCAGAGGCTCTACGTAACGAGACTAAAATTTTATTTATATAAATGGGGCATGAGCAAGGCTATGGAAAATGAATAAGGCTCGGCAGCTAAAACAGCATCCAGTTGTTCCAAAGAGTCATCTAAAATAAATTGATGTCGAGTCTTAAACTGTAACATTCCAATGCCAACGAAGGGCTTGGTGCTACGGCGAGAGGCCACAGAAAAGCACGACAGGAGTCCTTCTGGAGACAGCCCGGCTCCTTTCAGGTCCCTTCTTTTGAAATTACTCTGGCCAACATTTGTCTTCTGAAGTGGCCCTGGAGATCCTGTAATCCAACCACTTCTCTTTCTGGAATAAAAAAAATCCTGGGGGAAGGGAGAAGGACTCAACCTCTTTCCCCCCAAAAATCCCCCCAAAATAAAGAGATAAATGCTTTTCAAAATGAATCCTTTATTTTGAATTTTAAAAATACATACATCTTACACTGTAGCGAATCAAAACAAAGCCTAAGAAAGTCAATTCCTGCTTCCTTTAGCCCTGACTTACACTGGGTACCCGTTTCTGTGGCCGCCGGGGGTGACGGGCCTTTGCAGGGGCTCATCCCCGCTCCACTGCACATTGGCCAGCCCCTTCCGCCTTGTCTTCCCCGTGTTGGTCATGATCTGGTGGAAGGAAAGAGAAAAAAGGGCTAGAGGAATAGCTACTGGAGAGCTGACCTAGAAGTCAAACAGAATACACGGAATAAACTACTCTATAATGATAAGGAGCTTTGCAAATAAATGAGGAAGGATCACGTCACAAATTATTCAAGTAAACAGAAATTGCGGAGAAAAACCCTTTTTCTGCTAACAGATTTCCGTATCATACCAGTTAGCAGTATAAATTAAAACAAGGACAAACCGTAGGAAAAGGAAGAAAGCGGTTGACTACTGTAACTCATCACATCTCCGAAATGAGAAGGGAAAAAAATGAGACGGGAAAAATGAGAAGGGAAAAAAATGTAAAAATGAGAAGGGAAAAAAAGACGGACATTTGATTTCATAAAAATACGAACATTTCCACATGCGCAGTATGTCAAAAATAAACCAAATCAACAGGAAAACAACAAACTGGGAAGAAGTGTCTGAAGCAAGTTTAACAGATTAAAGGTGAACATTTTCATAGCTAAGGAGCTCCCACAAATCAGTAAGTAAAACACGAAACTGATAATTGGGCAAAGAATTCAAACCACCGTGTCACAAAATAGAAAGTATTACCAGTAAGTAGAAGAAACAAAAAAGACCCACTTTACTAGAAATTAGAAATTAGAACTTTACAAAAAAGGTAGCAGTCTTCAACTATTATAAGAATGACAGAAAAATGATCCCGTCCACTGCTCCCAACAGTTTAAAACACTAGTTTAAGGAATTAACACTAATTAGTGAGATTAAAATTTGAGACAACTCTTAGAAAGCAATTTGGCATTTGATCAAGAGTTGTAAAAATGTTCACACATCCTTGAGTGTCAATACTAGTGAATGAATCCAAACCTTGGAAAGTGTAAGATAAACAAGGTTGTTCATTATAAAATTATTAAAGAGTAAAACTGAAGCAATCTAGTATCTAGTAACAGGGGAATAAATAAGTAAAATATGGCATATTCACTTGATATATCATATAGCTATGTACAATGATAAAGAACAGGTTATGGAGAACTATGTTTATTTAAAACATTAAATAAAAATCAGGTTATAACAATGTACATAAATAATGCTTTTTTTTTTTTCCCTTGAGACAAGGTCTTGCTATGTTGCCCAGGCTGGAGTGCAGTGATCTTCCTGCCTTAGCCTCCCTAGTAGATGGGATTACAAGTGCATGCCACTGTGTCCACCTAAACAATGCTTTCAATTATGCTAAAAGTGCACAGAAAGACTGGAAAGAAATGAACCTTCACATGATTAGGGTGGCTACATAGGACAGTAGAACTAAGAATATTTTTTTCTGCCACAATTTTTTGTACTATGGTTACTATCATGTTCATACTTAAGAAAAATTGTTTAAAAAGGAAATCACTATAAAACTAGTGAAATGTGAATGAAGTCTGTGGATGATAGCAATGTCAACTTCCTGGTTTTGCTATTATGCTATAAATTACATAAGATAATAGCACCAGGGGAAATTATGTGAAGGGTGCATGGGAACTGTCTGTGTTACTTTTGCAACTTCCTATGAATCTATAATTATTTCAAAACAAAAAGTAAAACAAAAACAAAAAAACCAAACTTCTTCAACATTGGAATTTCATCTTTGATTTCTTGATTTCTGCTGAAAATTCCTTTGGGTTTATCTAGTATCTTAGGTAGGGAGAGGAAGAGAAAAAGGGCCAGTGTCTATGGGATTCAGTGAGCCTCACCTGGACCCTGGGACAGGTCTCAGCCAGGGAAGTGACAGGCGGGGTCAAAACCTGCCCTGGGCTGGGCACGGTGGCTCACGCTTGTAATCCCAGCACTTTGGAAGGCCAAGGCGGGTGGATCACCTGAGGTTGGGAGTTCGAGATCAGCCTGACTAACATGGAGAAATCCCATCTCTACTAAAAATACAAAAACAGCTAGGCGTGGTGGTGCATGCCTGTAATCCCAGCGACTCAGGAGGCTGAGGCAGGAGAATCGCTTGAACCCGGGAGGTGGAGGTTGCAGTGAGCCGAGATCGCACCATTGTAATCCAGCCTGGGCAAAAAGAGCATCTCAAAAAACAAAACAAAAACAAAAACAAAAACAACCTGCCCTGACTAGGAGGTGGGGAGGGATGGAAAGGAAAGTGAAAGGGAAAAAGCCTGGGAGAGTGAGAAAGTGGGAGGTGCTCACCCTGTTGGGGAAAGTGGAATGTAACTAAGCCATGTAAATAAAAACTAAAATGCAGTTGCGTTGCCTTTTCTGTCTCTAGAGAAATCTACCAAGGCAGGATATTTCCACTGCAACCACTTAACACTGCTGTCTGCTTCCACTGTGACTTCCCCATCCATCCCACTTCCCCGATCCAGGATCCAGGGTCGGTTCTACACGCTCTCATCACAGTGCTCCACGGTGGCTCTTGCCTTCTCTGTTTCCTGTCCCTCAAGACAGAGGACCCCTGAGCCCTCCCACAGAGAAACACGAAGAAGGCAACTGGAAAAGGGGAAACAGTCAATGTGTGGGTTTTCTCGAGTCTGTGACTAGTCCTCTGTCTCCACTTCCCCAGTGTCACAGTCATCTGAGCTTGCTCCTCCCAATGTCTTCCTAGAAATGACAGAAGATGTCACGTATTCGAGAATATTTTAGACTGCCAGTTATTTCATCTCCTTAAAACTACAGAAAGAAACCTGGAAAATAATTTAAAGTGGGTGGCATTTTTCCTTTCCCGTGGATGGGGAAACTGTATCTGGCCTGTGGGCCAGCACTGCCTGGTCTGTTGCAAAAATGCCTAAGAAAGGCCCTCAGTGGAGCGGCTTCAGTGTGCAGGGCCCAGCAGCGCAGCCACTTCCCAGCCTGTTCTTGCTGGCCTAGACTTCCCCTTCCCTTGCTTGCAGTGTGAGCCACCCAGTCTACTCTTGGGCGTCTCAGTTGCAAAGAAGACTTTGTGGGCTGAAGGATCTTAGAGGGTATCTTGCCCAACAACCTGCTGAGACAGAGCTGTTTATACTGAGTTCCACAGAAATGCTTTGGGGTCTGGGGAGAGAGGAGAGCAAGGGTTCCTGACATCCACCTGTACTCATCCAGAGGACGCGGCTTTCATCAGCGTTATGGATGGAGATTTTATTTGAAAGAAGGTTCTGCTACTATAAAAAGGAGCGTATTTAAGCACAATAAAAAAAGATAGCATATTATTTAGCTGAATGCAATTTATTCAGTAGTAAAAGTTGGTCAACATGTCAATTTAGGTAAAAAAAAATTTCTCATTTATTGGTTTTGAGTACTTGTGAATCACTTAAAGATATTATAAAGCAGTATAAATTTCTGTAAAAAATACAGGATACAGGTACACTCTATCTATCTATCATCTATATCTACCTATCTCTGTACTCACAGAAAATAATCTGAAAGGGGAGGCAGACACTGTTAGCAGTCTACACAATATTCACCCTCTCCTTCCTGACCAACAGAACTGATTTTGTCAGCACAGCAATGTGTCTATTTAAAAATACCTCCCAGACTCCCTTGCAGCTAGGAGCCATAGGACCCAGTTTTGACCAGTTAGTAAGTGGAGGTCACCAAGTGGAGCTTCAGGAAAACACTATAGGGGGCAGATTTGGCTGACCTGCACATTTGGCCTTCTTCCTGAGTTTATCACAGATTTGTGCCAGGACATGTACCTATCATATGATCAAGAGGCAACAGGCATGTGAATGAAGATATCAAGGCAGAGTTACCACAGAACTCATGAAACTTCATGTGTCACATGGTCATTTTATGTGTGTGTGGGTTTTTTTTGAGACAAGGTCTTGCTCTGTCACTCAAGCTGGAGTGCAGTGGTGTAATCACAGTTCACTGAAGCCTTGAACTCCTAGGCTCAAGTGATCTTCCTGCCTCAGACTCCCAAGTAGCTGGGACTACAGGCGTGTGCCACCATAGCTAATTAATTAATTTGTAGAGATAGGCCTTCCTATGTTGCTCAGGCTGGTCTTGATCTCCTGGCCTCAAGTGATCCTCATCCCTCAGCCTCCCAAAGCACTAGGATTACACACATGAGCCACCATGCCCAGCCTACATTTGTTTTTGTTTTTGAGACAGAGTGTTGCTCTGTCGCCCTGGCTGTAGTACAGTGGCACAATCTCGGCTCACTGCAACCTCTGTCTCTGAGGTTCAAGCAATTCTCCTTCCTCAGCCTCCTGAGTAGCTGGGACTACAGGCATGTGCTACCATGCCTGGCTCAGTTTTGTATTTTTAGTAGAGATGGGGTTTCACCATGCTGGCCAGGCTGGTCTTGAACTCCTGACCTCAGGTGATCCACCTGTCTCAGCCTCCCAGAGTGCTGGGATTACAGGTGTGAGCCACTGTGCCCGGCCTTAATTTAGATTTAGTGGGAAAAATTTCCAAGATTCACAGTACCTTCCACGCGTAGTCAAAAGACTGCTATCTGCCCTGGTGTAGAAATGGCCTCTAGTAATTCTCTATGTTGTTAGAGTATTTGTGAATAATCAGTGTGCAAGAAAATGTCAAATGCCCCCCATTACAGTTAAGCGGTGGCAGAATATGCCATTCCAAAATATGTCACTTTGGCTTAGGATTATTTTGCGGTAAAGGCACTTGATACAAGAAGGACATCCTAATCTTCCTCTTTTCTTCCTGAAAACAAGAGATAAAAACTCGCATGTGAAAGATGCTTTCCGGGCACCAAGAGAAAAAAACCACATGTTGTCAGAGCTAAGAGAATTCTGTACAAACAGACCTGGGTAACATGATTCTTATCTTCCTTTAGCCTCCTCACATAATTTGGTAACTTTTCTACAATTGCCCCTCTTTGTTCAACCTAGTTTAAAAGCATTTAGGTTCTGCCAGTTCTTTTCCCTTTCATTTCCTTAGGAGGGCTTCCACGTCACATAAAACTTATAGAAATGTATGTGCTTTTCTCCTGTGAATCTGTTTTACATCAATTTGATTCTCAGGCCCAGTCAAAAATCCTAGGGAATAAAGGTAAAACTTTGCCT